CTATCGAGAAATTAACAGATTTGATACAGAAATAAATATAATTAAATATAAATAAGTAACTGTAAAATCTAGAACAATCGATAAACACCGTAATCAAAAATTAAAACAACCGATTCTATTCCACCAAACGAAAAGGAAAACATGTTTTGAAATGAATCATTTACGTCAAACATACTTGTATTATTAATTCAAATCAATTGTGATTTTTTCAGAGAATGTTAAAACGCTTTTTTGTATATGTAACTGGAATTATTTTCTTGCTGATAGGCATTCCATCATAATTTAATACGAAACTATACATGGTTGTAAATTGTAAAACTAAAAATTATTAATATCCTTTAAAGCGTTTAAATGTTGTAAGATTTTCTGTTACCAAGTTTAACACAATTAGTAATATGTCTATATTTATAATCACAAAGGGTTTAAAACAATGCCATCTTTGGTAGTAAATAGATGACAATATATATTGTACGTTTTGTTGAAAATTATAATTGTGTTTACAAAATAGAACTCATAATATAATTTTGTGACACATCAAGCATCCGTTTTCAGTGAAGAGAGCGAATAGACGATCGTAGACAGTGATTCAAGTGTGACTTTGAATTCTTGAGATTTCGACTTTTTATTCTTGACGGAGGCAGAAAAAAATCGCCGTATGTAATAGGCTTAAGTACCATGCACTTGACCTGGTGGTAAAAGTGTGTATATTACATTAGATACGTATTTGTTAAAATGATGTATCGATTTCGTTAGCGTGGGCGACCATAATCCTTCGTACGAGGTGGGTGTGCAAGGAGGCCTTTGGATCGACCATCGCCAATGGTAAACAGGGTGCGCGAACACAAACTCATCATCCACTTCGGACTTCTTGGTTGGGAGAACCTGCTCCAAGAATAGCAACCCAATAAGGTCCTGCGCCTTGCTGACATCAACCGGGATGATCAATACAATCCTTCAACAACGTAGTCCTTTTCGTGATACCGAAGGACTCGTACCGTCGTGCCATTGTCCTCCTCGTTCCTTATAATTACGTACCGTGAGCTAGGTTTTTGATGAGTCCAAAACGCGCTCATGTGTGGACTACGGTTTAGAACAAGGAACAGCCCTTCGCAGAAAACCTCCCTTCGTTGGGGCGATTGCTGCTCTTTTCCTCGGTCAACAATTCTCTACGAAAACTTGTAGTACGACATCAACAAAACAATAATCCTTTAGGTACCTCTGTAAATAATCTTGTTAGTTTCAATCATCGAATCCCAACTGTTGATTTTGTAAGTAAACTACTTAATCAGATATGTACTCCATTCTGTTGATCCAAAAAATAAAACCCTTTCCGAGACTGTTTTGATCAGTTTTACATCATCATCACTCTCCTGAATTGGCAATTTGGATTTTTTGAAACGTTTGGGAAATTTACAAATCAATGCCTTTTGAATTCTTTTGTGGATATCTGTTCTATATTACATCACCTTGACTTTTACTTCAAACCCATTTCCTTAAATTTGAAACATCAAGGAGAAATGCGCATGCGCCATCTGGTTCTTGATTTCTGACATTCAAATCTAAAGTAACATGTGTTCTGCCAATCGGCATTGAGTATTTTTTCTTTTTACTAAAATAGGTACTTTATAAGCACACATGGCAGTTGCTATCTATCTATCAAAATTGAATCATTTTTATGAATTTTATATGCTCTTACAGATATCTTTCCGAAATACTGATGATTTGGAAATGTGTTTCAATCAATTTTCACAAAATTGCCCTTTACTGTAACAACACTTGTTTATTTTCCTTTGAAGATATGAATAAGAAATCCATTTTTTCATTTCCTTCCCATTATTTTTATAAATTACCTTCATAGACATGTAATGTAGTTGTGAAGGTACCCTAATAGTAATAGCAAACAGAAACCAACACTGCTGTTTAAAAATAAATTTGGTGCTTTGTTCTTTTCCGAAATTATCGATTTGTCATCGTTACATAAGCGCTTGTTTATGTTGTGATTTACTGTTACAGTTTGTACCCAAATCATCTCAACTAGCAAGATGATCAATATCGGCGGCGTTGTATCCATCATCATTTTTTATATTTTGATTTTGATCGTTGGTATTTGGGCAGCAAGGAAAAAGGAAGAAGGAAATAATTCAGAGGAGGAAGTTATGCTTGCAGGGCGAAACATTGGTCTGTTCGTGGGAATATTTACAATGACAGGTAATCAAATATCTTACAAGCTGGAGCTATTTGCTGATCTCCTTTATGAGTTGCTTCAACTTCCGCAGACTTCTGCTAATAGGTGTTCGCTTAGAATGTCAAAGTTTCTGTACTTATTTTCATTTTAAAGCTACATGGGTTGGTGGAGGATATATAAATGGGACAGCGGAAGCCACGTATAGTCAAGGTTTGATTTGGTGTCAAGCACCTTTTGGTTACGCCCTTAGTTTAGTATTTGGTGGTATATTTTTCGCAAACAAAATGAGAAAGCAAGGTTACGTCACAATGTTGGATCCTCTTCAAGATTGCTTTGGAGAACGAATGGGTGGACTTCTATTCCTACCGGCTTTGTGCGGTGAAGTTTTCTGGGCTGCAGGAATCCTGGCAGCTTTAGGAGCAACACTCACAGTTGTTATCGACATGGACCACAGAACCAGTATAATTTTCAGTGCGTGCGTTGCAGTGTTTTATACCCTTTTTGGGGGACTTTATTCTGTAGCCTACACGGACGTCATACAGCTGTTTTGTATTTTTATTGGGCTGTGGTTATGTATACCATTCGCGTGGTTGAATGAACATGTGAAGCCCTTGGGTTCTATGGATGTCGATTGGATCGGAGAAGTAGAATCGAAAAAGATCTGGTATTATATTGACAATGAACTTCTGCTGATATTTGGTGGCATACCATGGCAAGTGTACTTCCAGAGGGTACTCTCTAGTAAATCAGCTTACAGAGCACAACTGTTGTCATATGTAGCAGCTTTTGGATGTTTTATCATGGCTATTCCTTCAGTTCTCATAGGAGCCATAGCGAAAGCCACCGGTAAGTGACATACACGCTCTTGCCTCATACTACAACCTTTCAAAATTTAACGCTGTTCAATTATAATGTAAATCTTTTGCTATAGAATGGAATGAAACAGCTTATACTGGCCCTTATCCATTAACTCAAGAAGAAGTTGGTAAAATTCTTCCCATGGTGCTTCAATTCCTTACCCCCAGTTTTGTTTCGTTTTTCGGATTGGGAGCAGTTTCAGCTGCTGTTATGTCTTCAGCCGATTCCAGTGTACTATCAGCAAGTTCTATGTTCGCAAGGAACATTTACAAGTTGATGATACGACAGCGTGCTTCAGAAATGGAAATAATATGGGTCATGAGGGTTGGAATATTTATAGTAGGAGTGTTGGCCACCATTATGGCTTTGACCATTCCTTCAATCTACGGATTATGGTAATGAAATTTGTCTAAATGTTTCTATAGAGCTTTAATTCACCACACTCTTTAGGTCGATGTGTTCTGACTTCGTTTATGTCATACTCTTTCCACAACTGCTCATGGTAGTTCATTTTAAAAACTATTGCAATACTTATGGTAGTTTAGCTGCTTATATTATGGGATTATTCGTGAGGATATCGGGAGGCGAGCCACAACTCTTCTTGAAACCTTTCATATACTATCCGGGATATGACGCTGAAGAAGGTCTTCAGCTGTTCCCATTCAAAACCATGGCCATGTTGATATCCTTGATAACATTAATAACTGTTTCATGGCTGATGAAATGGTTGTTTGAGTCTGGCAAAGTAGCGCCTAGGTACGACATATTTCATTGCATAGTGAACATCCCGGAGGACATCCAAAGGGTCGGTGAGCCTTCCGAAGATGGTGAACAAATGTCTGTCATGGCCTCAGGGAATGCCAAAAGCTATGGGGCAGCGACGATGGTTGGGAAAGATGAAAAAAACGGCAGAATCAATCCGGCACTTGAACCTGACGATGATATCCTTGCTTCGGAGGTTGAAAGGAATAACAGCTTGATCGGTAGTAGTGGCGGTGGTATTAGGAGCGACACAAACCCTGCCGAAGTGCAAACAGCACTTTAACTCTAGAAGAACTTTTGCTCTGATAGTTGCGTGTAGTCACAAATTATATCCTGCAAATAGATCAGGCGAATGGAAGTACCCAAGTATTAAACTCATACATATCATGAAACGTGTCCTAAAATGAAACGATACATATCAATTTGTCCTTCTGTTTAATAAAAATGAATGAAGATAAAATTAATTTTGGAATGGACGTTAAAAGGTATTAAAGTTTTGTCTGTTGATCCCTATCGATGTTAATGTTGTTATTGTTGTTGTTGTTGTTGAAGATGTGATTTTAAAAAAGTTTTCGCAATTTATGAAGGTTATAAGAAAATCCCAGGAGGATGCAAACTAAATTTTTTCCTATATGTAGATAAGTGATTGTTTCAGAACTCAAAAAAATGGAAACTGCAAAAAGTTTTCTATCAAGTAATTCTCCATTTTGATTACTAGAAGTATTTTACCATTGGCGAAATGTTGGTGTGAATTGACATAATTTAATGTCCTTTCAGCCCTGAGAGACTTATTTCAAATAATATTTATTAGACAGTTCAATAAAACTTATTAAAGTTACCCAGGTACCAAACCTAAATACGGCAGTTTCTATTGAAACATTGCGAATATTAATTAATCTAACCGAAAGCCTGGCGTTGGATTAATACCGGTCTAATTCTACAATTTCATGGTGAATCTCTATATTTAAATGTACTTTTTGACAATATACAGTTTATACTAGAAATAAGGCCTAAACAATGAGACAAAAAATAATAGATACTGAATCTTCAAGAATACGTATTAACGGTTCATTAATGTGAGTACAAAGAAATTTTTATTTATTTAAATGAACAAAGTTATTGTTGTCTGTAACGCGTAGCCTTTGCATCCTAAATATTAATTTCGAAATGAATAAACAAATTACGAAAGGAGGTGATGTCTGTCTGAGAGGGAAAACTTAGAACTCGATCTCACGTTTGCTTTTAGCTATTATTACCATACACATCTGCATGTTGACTATTAGTACCTCATTACCGGTAGTCATACGTACACCTATGTCTAAACAACTTTCAAATCTAAATTGAATAATTGCTTCTTAAGTAAACAGAAAAAGTGAAAAACTCTTATGTCATCAATTGGTCGCTCACGAATCATAACATATACAAAACACATCATATCTCTTATTATAGAATATTCAATAACTCTCTTATGACCCTTAGGTACCCATATTACATGTAAATAGTTATTAAATTAATCTAATGTAGACTAAATAAAATACTAGCACCCAGAGCTTTTAACGTCTATTCCTGAATTTATCGGAAAAAAATTATAGTATTTTGTTGTACCTACATCAAATTAAAGTAAAACTAATTCCTTTCAGCCACAATTAGCTAAGTTGAAAACGTGTGCTGAAAGAAATTTGTTGAGTAAGAGATGCTTGACGATTATATTTGAAAGACTAATTTCAGTTGCGATCATAATATAAATAATGTTTTATATTGATATTGTTGTATAGTGTAAGTATCTCCAGAATGAGCGATATTTATTTACAAGGTTGTAGATACTTACTATTTTTATATTGAAGTTGTTCTGTAGAATTTTGTTTTATATAAAAAAAATGTCTACAACTCCGTTACACACTTAGTCAATTCTAATTGTTTAATAGTTATTAGCACAACTTTGTAAACTAACGTACATATCAAATATAGAGACTGTCGATGTATATAGATCTAATTCTAATTGTACTTATATATACATATAAAAAAATATATATATTGCAATTATTGTATGTTGTAGGTAAAATCAAAATAAAGAATGAAATAATTAAATACTGTTTACTTAAAGTGGTTTATTTTGGCGACGTACAAAAATTGTTGTTATTACTAAAACAATTTCAGTAAGAATAGCCACCGTTGGAGTCGTAGCTTTGTCCCCCTTGAGATCTTCCTGAAGGAGCTCCATATGAAGAAGAGGGTGCGCCTCCACCGCTGTGTCCACCAGCTCCTCCAAAGCCACCTCCGAAACCACCGCCAGAACCACCTCCGAAGCCCCCTCCAAAGCCAGAATTAGCAGATGGAGCTCCGTAGGAAGATGATGGTCCAGATCCACCAAAACCACCAGAATGACCTGATGGAGCACCGTAGGAAGAGGAGGGTGCTCCTCCAAATCCACCTCCAAAACTACCCCCTGAACCACCTCCGTGACCTCCCCCAAAGCCAGAGTTAGCGGATGGGGCTCCATATGAAGACGATGGTGCAGATCCTCCAAAACCGCTTGATCGACCAGACGGAGCACCATAAGATGAGGAGGGTGCTCCTCCAAAGCCACCTCCAAAACCACCTCCCGAGCTACCTCCGAAACCTCCTCCAAAGCCAGAGTTAGCGGATGGCGCTCCATAAGAAGACGATGGTGCAGATCCTCCAAAACCGCTAGATCGCCCGGACGGAGCACCGTAGGATGAAGAGGGTGCTCCTCCAAAGCCACCTCCAAAACCACCTCCCGAGCCACCTCCGAAACCTCCTCCAAAACCAGAGTTACCGGACGGGGCTCCATAGGAAGATGATGGCGCAGATCCTCCAAAACCGCTTGATCGGCTGGATGGAGCACCATAGGAAGATGAGGGAGCACCATAAGAAGATGAGGGTGCACCTCCACCATTACGTCCGCTCGCTCCTCCAAAGCCGCCTCCGAAACCACCACCGAATCCACCTCCACTGCTGCTTCCACTAAAAGATCTTGCGAATGATCCACCGTGTCCTCCAGAGGAACGGGCTTCTACAGAAACGGTATCAGATGAGCCACCACCCGATGGTGGAAGGTAGCTTCCTTGTGGTCCTCCAGAAGGATATCCTGCTGGCGCTATAGAAGGAAAGTAAAGAAACATAACCGTCCCAAAGTACAATTCATCAAATAATTAATTGAAGTAACTTACGTTCCGCATTTAAATGCGTGATCAAGGCGCACAATAGGGTCACGCTAAGCTGTAAAAAATAAAAAGAAATGAAGATTGAATACCCCAACAATAAAGTAGGACCAATGCCAATAACGATTAATATTATTTTCCCTATAATGGTATGCTATTTTAAATTTCTCAAGTTTAGAAATAGAGAACACCTCATTATTTTTCTTCCGTGTTATTGAATACATATCCATCTGACATCTGTTTAAGATTATATAATGGCATTTGTTATGATAAATTGAATTAGAAACGTAACTGTATTATTTACACATTCTGTTATAACATCGTTAAATTGTTGGACACTTACCACTTGCTTTAGGAACCACATTTCTTTTCACTGAACCGTCACCAATGGTTAGAAAAACACTGACTGAGATGGAATACGATGCAAAAAAAAATTTCGCACATATTTATAGTCAGGAGTCGACGATGGGCTTGTGAAAGTGAATTTGGTAAAGATTTGGGTTTGTGTGGGAGAAGACACTGGACCTTGTAACTGAGCCATAGCAATAGCCAATATTAGCAGGTCGTAATAGGTTTGTTTTAGAATGACCATTCTGAACATCGTCCAGAACTTTGAGGGTCAACAGAATTGTTTACAGCACCCACGCTGGTTTCTCTAAGTTACTTAAATGGTTTAGTTTGAACATCAAATTATTTATTGCATTGGGGAAAACGACATTCAATGACAATTTACACAACTGAAGAAGTTAGAATGTTAAATGAAATAAATCCATCATGAGGTAATTTTTACTTAGAAAATTCCTGCTAAAGATTCTATGACAATGTAAACATAATGAAATAATTTCAGATAAAGTTTGAACAGTGATATTATGCTTTAGATAGCTCTTGATTATTAGTGAGTAAATGATAAGAACATTCTCATAACTTTTTGAGCATTTTAAATTTATTTGTGTTTTAAGAGTAATGACTACAAGTACTTCATGATTTATCTGTAACCCTGAGCAGAGCTATCGAGAAATTAACAGATTTGGCCACTTAACTTCTTATCAGTGAAGTGTAATAAATTTTTATGTTGCCACTGTTAAAAATAAACAGTAGTATAAATTGTAATCCAAAACTCATTAAATTTGCTCAGTAATCCTTGTGTGGTTGTACGACAAACACCAAAATATGTCGAATTAGGATGAATACTGACGCCTGACGATTTGGGTGAAGAAAATGGAACTGCATATTTCAGAACGATCAAAAAAAAAAAGATCGTTGTCTTGCTGTCGAATGAAGAAACAAATCGTCTAACAAATTGCCAATCACGATCTGACAATTATTACAGAAGTTGAGTCTATAATTGGTTTCAGAAATTATACAAGTGATTAGATTACTCGTACTTCATTAAAATACTTCATTTTTAATACATACAAATGCAGTTAAGTAGTTAGTAGTGAGTGTATAGATACAATGATGAATTCCCCTAAAACTTCTACCAACTTCCACTGTAGGATGTTGGAAAACACTCTCGCTTTATTAATTTGATGGCTTTTTGACCTTGCCGTGACAAATTGGATCAATTTGCGATTTTCACTCCATTCACTATATCATTGATTATAAGTATAAAGAACTGTGATAAATGAACAAGAAAATGTTAAAATACTATCACAAATATTTCTTTTCTAATCAGCATTACTTGAGCAAAAATTAACGTCCACGTTTATAAAATCAATACTTAATTAACTTGTTTCGAAACTTGAGGCCACGAAAATGGACATTTTCTGGGTTTCAATTATTTGTCCCCAGGTGTAGGTGAAAAGTATAAATTTCTCTGGTTATATACGTAACATACAAATATTTTCGGCTTATTCCATCATATTTATTGAGATTGTTCAATGAATCATTTTAAGTAGGTAAGGAAGACGCTTTCTATGTCATAGAGTTTCAGTTATTATTAATAAAATTTGTAGGACTGTTAGTTTTTATTGTCCCATTTTTCTGTCGGCGGAGAATGAAGAAAATCACAAAAACATATGAAATAAACGTACATACAAAATGGGCACCTGTTCTTGGCAATTTAATAGATAAGTAGGTCATGTCCAATTGCAGACGTTAGACAAATTGCTTGCGTTAAGGCATTTATTAGTCTATTGTGTTCTTTTACGCATATTACTACGCAACTTTTTTTGAATCTTGAAACAATTCTTATCTCTTCTATCAACCACGTTCTCAATGCCAGATAGGAATCTTCTCGGAAATATTCTTGTAGGCACGTAAAACACGTTCCATGCTTGTTACTGTTATATAAGGGACGTATTTAATTAACAAAATACTCATTTATTGTTATTTTTATTGTTAAAACGCGTGATTATTGCTTTTTGTATATAATAATTCAGAATTAACTCGGTTTGTGATGTGTTATAGGAATATCAAATTTCTTCTATTGAAGTAGAAATGGTTTGCAATTACTCTTTAATGCAAATTCTAATTGAGATTTAGCATCACTTTGTATATTTTGGCCAACTATTTTAATTTTGAGAAAGAAAAGTAAGATAAGCAAATTAGTGACTAGATGTATATCCTTGTTTTGCTTCAGTATGTTATCGCATTTAGATATAAAATACCCACTACAATTTCTAATCTGAGAATTTTTCAAATTTCATTTCAAAACAGTTATCCTTTAAATGACAGCTAACTCCTAGCTTTAGTTGTCCAATTCAATTTTATTTTCTACGTCTATCATGATTTAATTCAGTTATACATAATAAGGCAGCAGTTTTTTTTTTATATTGAATAATCCATAAAACTAATGAATCTCAATAGAGAATCATACGTTTTCTTCGTTTGATTTATTGAACATAGTAATGTTTTCGTTTTAGTTCTTTCCAGTAATTATTTGTCATTTTGTTTTGGATATTGCAGCAAAACATTTGTTTTGTAAAAAAATTTATTTAATAAAATGTACACGTAATAGGTAAAATGATATTAAAATTTTCTTAGTAGCTGTAACCACCATTGGCAGCATAGGTTTGCCCACCTGAACCGGATGGTGCTCCGTAACTCTGCGATGGAGATCCACCAAATCCGCCGCCTTGGCCTCCAGATGAGCCACTTGGAGCACCATAAGTAGAAGATGGTGCCCCACTACCGAAACCACCAGAAGGAGCACCATAACTTGAAGAAGGTGCAGCACCTCCGAATCCACCGGAAGAACCACCTGGAGCTCCATAGCTTGAAGAAGGTGCAGCACCTCCGAAACCTCCGGAGGAACTACTTGGGGCGCCATAACTGGAAGAAGGCGTTCGTCCACCAAATCCGCCTGATGAACCACCTGCCGAACCCCCTGGAGCACCATAGCTAGATGACGGCGTTCGTCCGCCAAATCCACCAGATGACCCACCTGGTGCACCGTAGCTTGATGAAGGTGCTTGTCCGCCAAATCCACCAGATGAACCCCCTGGTGCACCATAGCTTGATGAAGGTGTTTGCCTACCAAATCCACCGAAAGAACTTCCTGGTGCGCCATAACTTGAAGATGGTGCACTACCACCAAATCCCCCAGACGAACCGCTAGGAGCCCCATAACTAGAAGAAGGTGTTCGTCCACTAAATCCACCTGACGAACCACCTGCCGAACCTCCTGGAGCACCATAGCTAGATGAAGGCGTTCGTCCTCCAAATCCGCCAGATGACCCCCCTGGTGCACCATAGCTTGATGAAGGTGCCTGTCCGCCAAATCCACCAGATGAACTTCCTGGTGCACCGTAGTTTGATGAAGGTGCTTGTCCTCCAAATCCGCCAGATGAACCTCCTGGTGCACCATAGCTTGATGAAGGTGCTTGTCCGCCAGATGATCCTCCTGGTGCGCCATAGCTTGAAGAAGGGGCACTTCCGCCAAATCCACCGGACGAACCACTAGGGGCTCCATAACCAGAAGAAGGTGTTCGTCCACCAAATCCACCAGACGAACTTCCCGATGCGCTATAGCCTGATGAAGAAGTTTTTCCACCAAATCCGCCAGACGAACCTCCTGGTGCTCCGTAATTTGACGATGGCGTTCTTCCACCAAATCCACCAGATGAACCTGGAGCACCATAGCTTGATGAAGGTCTTCCACTTGGTGCGCCATAACTGGACGAAGGAGCACCGCCGCCAATTCCTGCTGATGGACCACTTGGCGCACCATAACTAGAGGATGGTGTAGACCCTCCAAATCCGCCTGAAGATGCACCAGGAGCACCGTAACTTGAAGACGGACCACTTCCTCCAAATCCAGCTTGACCTCCTGATGGAGCTCCGTACGAAGACGAGGGTGCACCACCTCCTCCACCACTGCTTTGACCTCCACCCAATGGAGCTCCATACGATGAGGAAGGAGCAGACCCCGCGAAACCTCCGGTTGGAGCACCATATGATGATGAAGGAGCTGATCCTCCTGTAGGAGCACCATAAGACTGAGAAGGAGCACTGCCTCCAAAACCACCCTGACCTCTTCCTGACGGTGCGCCGTAAGAAGATGACGGACCAGCATTGCTACCAAAACCACCCTGTGATCTACCACCTCCTCTAGAAGCAGGAGCACCATATAATCCGCTAGGTGCTCCAGCTGCAGAACCACCTCCAAAGCCTCCCTGACCAGACGGTGCGCCGTAAGAGGATGATGGCGTCCTTCCTCCAAATCCACCAGAAGGTGCTCCACCAGATGGTGCTCCGTAACTTTGGGATGGAGTTCCACCAGATGGTGCTCCATAACTTTGGGATGGAGTTCCACCAGATGGTGCTCCGTAAGACTGAGAGGGAGCAGAAGCACCGGGGGTATTGTAGGATGATGAAGGACCCGCAGGCGTCCCATAACTGGTTGATGGGGGAGAATACCTTCCCCCTGATGTACCACCGCCTCCTCCTGATAAGTCCGGTGGAAGATAACCCCCTCCAGGCCTTCCTGAGGGATATCCTACTGGAGCTGGAAGAGTATTCTGATGTAGGAATGGATTTTTAATAAAACTTACTTAACTTACGTTCCGCATTAAGTCTACTTATAAGGAGACATATCAATGTAGATTTAATCTGAAAAACACAAAAACATTTTAATTAATTGAAGGTGGAAATAAAACTTCACATGATTAATAGTAAAATGTTTTATAGATAACGTTAAATAACACTAATATATATAGTAAAGAAGATGAAAAAGAAAATCATCAATGACAAAATTTACAAATATAGTTAATATTTTAATTATACTCGAAATCAATTCAATACAATTTACATTATTATTGACCCTATTTTAACATGAATTATGACTGAACGCGTATGTCACTGTTGTCGTATATTTAGACTATTAACTGCATTTCAAATTTACGTTTTTGTTTGTTATTCAGTAATTATTGTCAGTAAAATTGCTGTTATTTATATAAACGTATAGTAATTAAAACTAAAATACCCAACAAACGAATGCATGAATCTTTTAAAAGATTGGAAAATAATTTAATTAAAATAAAAACCATATATTTAGCTCAGCTCATATTTGCCACAGAAAATTGCACTTTTAATTATTATTAAACCATGATTTTATGTAATCTTTAAATATTTCCTTTGATTGTACACTGTGCGCACTGGCTATATGGAAAATTTTCACTCACCACGTTAAACGAAAACCACATGTTCCTACAACTATCAAAAGCACTAAAGAGTGAAGAAGATTTCTAAAGTGCAAAATATATGCCACAACATATTTATATAGGGCCTGGGATGAACCAGTGAAAGTGAATCCAAGCGGGCGCGAGATTCGACTTGGCGGTGCGTGGGAGAATTGGAAGCGTCGAGTCCTTGCACCTCTAGAACATCTTCAGCTACATCGCCGATTCGCAATTTTTCAAAAACGGTATTTCTTGCACATGCATGTATATTACCGCCAAGTTTATCACGTATGTGAGTGTCTGTGTGTGTACTGGTAATCGTTATTAGGCAGTTGTAGTCGTGCATCAACAGTTTGTACAAAAACCAAGGTCAAACACTAAATATTTTCTGCCATATTTGACTAATTGTTATTTATTTATTTCACTATTTGAATCTGTTCTGGTACAGGTTATTCTTTGAGATAAGACAACAGTATGTTGTTTTGGCGATAATTCATACATCTTCTACATCATCTCGTAGTAATTTCGGTGATTGGAAGAAACTATCATATTAAAAAAAGATGGTCAAAAGATGAAGGTAGGTATGATAGTATCAATTTTAAGTCCCATTATGGTTGCATCACGATGTTAGGAATTTTTTTTTTCCAATTCCATTTTCTGTGTTCAGGAATTATGTAGCATCGTGTTCTAGTGGATCTTCTACTCAATTGTGCAGAATGTTTAAAACCTCGAGAGAACTACATTTAATTCAGGGTTTTCATTCTAATAACAACTCTTTCATTATTTTTCACAATAGTATTCTGTTGTCAATTTAAATCATTTTTGGAATTCGTTAGATAATCTATTTTTATTATGGTTGATGCGCAAGAGCCAACGACTTGGAAATTTTTATTGATGACACTAATTTTCCCTCTTTATGGTCTTACATATGGTACGTTGGATTAACTGTTTGTGGAAAACTTTATAACTACTCTTCTGAGATATTTGCAGTAGTACCGGTTTCTTTTTTTAAGTGTGCAAACATTGGAAACCTCAGCCTTTTTACAAGAACAACAAAACATATTCGCAAATTGGATAATTCCAAAGAAAAAAAACAAACAAAAAGCAGTGTTGACATTGGATATTTTTTTATAGTCCGTTACTTCTTTATTCGCCAAATTCTTTTCCCTAATTAGTTTTAGTCGTGTATAAATATAGATGAATATTATTAATGATTTACGTGTATCGGTAAATAACAGTAACTTTTAATTTTTTACCGTCATCACCTTTAATCTTTCTTCCCATCTATAAGCTTTCAAGGTTTACTATTAGGGAAACATTATCGATTTAATCAAGTCATTATCTTAGCAACAATTAATAGTAATATGTAATTATTGTGTTCAAACTAATAAACCTGTGTAACAAAATATTGGTAAGGTAGCGAATAGTCGGAATCGTTACAGGAAGCTCGTGCAGTACATGTGAGTCGTTAATGTGGTTACAAAAAGGATCCTGATGTCATCCAGAATTCGAAACATAATCATTTGTATTCAGTCGATTGATTATTGTCGATAGTAACACAGTTGGGCAATTCGGGGTCATATTGTAGATGTATCAACGGCAATAAAATTTTCAACCGATGGCATTGTTATGCAAGTTAAATTCTACGGCGTTGAGCTTATTATTTAAGAGTATCGTAATCGGCTGTCATTATGCTCAATTTTGTATGCAGATTGAGTTTGTACGAAGGAAGCCAGTCGTAGTGAACAAACTTAGTTTTTAATTAAACACGAAAAAATTATTAACGCTGCAAAACTGTTTCAACATTATGTTCAATCTTTTTCCAAACTGATAAATTTTCGTATTTTTGTTTCTTAAAAGATATGGATACTGTCCATTAAACTGTTTCAAAAAAATCGATGATTTTTTTTCTTAATTATATCGAAAATCTTGTTGAAAATGGTAAAAAAAAATACTGTGAATATTAAGAGGTGCCGCATCGTAAATTTCAGTTTCCCATTTAAATAACATGGGAACGATGTTCTCTTGGATTTTGGAATTTTTTAACTCTTGTTAGAGTTAATATTTTAAAATGATCAAAACAAGGTTTTATACAAAATTTAACGCTCTACAAAAAAGGTCTCTTACAGTTTTTTGATATATTCATTTTTTCAATAGTTATTTAACGTTAAAGTTCGATTGGTTTAAAATTTTTACATTTTTCTTAATTTCCGACGCAACCATCAACTTTATGGGAAAATTTTATGAGACATTTTTTGTAGAGAATTTAATTTTCTATAATTTATCTCTCAAAAAGTTTTTGATATTTTTTGGAGATCATAAGTTACCTGCAAAAAA